GTGGTGATCCTCGGTGTTCTTGTATCCATAAGTTCGATCTCAACTGACCCCTCCTGTCTCTCTCAATAAAGCGAAAAAACATGTAGGTGCATTTGAAAATTTTTATGAAAAATGCGGATTACAAAAGTATTATTATTATTATTATTATTAGAAATTTCTCTAGTAAAGTGACAAACTACCGAGTCAGCAAGCCGTCTAGGAAGGTGTTTAAGTAGCGGTTTATTCGGTGTCGGTTGTGCCAATAAATTTTGATAATCAGATGTAGATTCGTATTTTGACAATTTTCGCGAGATCTAATTCCGGTTTGTAATGAATTTTGTAGACCAAATCGAGAATTTAAATCCCGCAAAATATCTTCGTCCTAGTTCTTACGAAATTAAGTTTCCTCCCAAACAAGTAACAATCAGAGGGACAACCTCGTCCCCCCCCGCCCGGGGCGCCCCCCGCTCCCCATTTTCTTTTTATGGAAAAGCCCTGGATGTTGTTGTTAGCCTAAAAGCAACCAACATTACTTTTCCTTCTAATTTATCACTGCTGAGGTCGATGAGCTACGGAGTCACCGGAATCGCCCTTTTAGACAAAAGTATTTACTGTTCGTATGATGTTTTAACTGGATATCCAGTTGCCTGTTAATTTATCACAAAAAATTGGACCACATATTGTCTTTTATTAATCACAAGGCAAATCTGGGGTTTTATCATAGCAACAGAAAACTGAAGGCGTTGTATTTGATCCATAAAAGTGGCGAAAAAGTGCTGGAAAACGTTACAAACCATTGTGAGCCACCTTAATAGAATTTTGTTTTGAAACAAAGTGAGAACTTTGACACCATTTCGCTGTTCTTAATTTCAGTTCCCGTCAGACGACTTTCCTTCAGAGATAATTAAACTATTTTAGTAAGCCGAACGAAAAACAAACAGAAAACCCGATAAAAAAACTATCTGAAGTCCGCGGCGCTGTCATATAATTCACGGAAGAACTTCACTTACTACGAAATTCTAACAAAAGAAGACATTATTCATTTATAATTTTAAAAACAGTTACACGAGAAGTGACAAGGCAGAAATTTAAGATAGGATACAACAGACAAAATAGATTCCTGTCAAAACATTTTCCGAAAATTTACGTATGAGATGTATGTCTATAAAGTTGACAACGAACAAAAGAAAAATTTCTCCTTTCTGTCTTGTCTTTCATTCAAGATATAAAGAATTAATTGCACAGCTCAGCGGAAAAGCAATAACTCATTTTTTTCTGGCACAGTTCCTGAAGGATATAACTTATTATTGTGCTAGCGGGTTACTAAGTTTTTCGAGGCGTAGATCACGCACGTCACCTGTGCAATACTGATTACCACTGGCCGACTATGGGGTGCCAGCTAATCGAAGCAAAAATAATGCAAAAGTATACACTTATGATGTTTGGAGTTAATTCTTATCTGAAAACTACCATAACATTGCTCCCTTCGTAAATTTAAAGACTTTTTTCTTTCTTTTTTTTTTCAGCGCTTATTCATTGGAGATATTTGATTCTTAAAAAACAGTGCATCTTAATAGCAAAAAGGCTCTGAAAAAACTTAGCAAAACAACTATGCATGCACACCAATAAACGACCAAGACGGAAATGGGCTGAAGACAGAAATTTTTAAAAAGCGTTTTCTTTGTAAGTTATGCAAGTGCATGTGTAATGTGAATTTATTTTTTATGAGTATACGTTGGTTTTGATGTTGTGTGGTACAGCCGGCAGCCTCCCACACTGTCGATCCATATATGGCCGCTTGTCATTTGTTGTGGTTTGAATACATCCGCAGCATTTTTGTTCTCCATCCTTTCTTTTCATACTGCAAGTCATAATTGATACACAGGCTACAAAAAAAGTGGAAGTAACAACGAAAAAATGATAAAACATGGTGGCTTTTAAAATACTTTTTAATTTTTAATGAAATACAAGAGTTTAACCATTTCGATTCCCCAGTCAATATATAATAAAGACATGCAATGTGGTTTCACACTGAATGACTCATGAGTCTGTGGACGAACTCATTCCACGACACCACATTCGAAAGAAACCTTTCCCAAAACTCTTGAATGATTATATTGGATTTTCTATATCTGACAGAATTAAAATTTAGAATTTCCCTCGCCATTCAGGAAGTGAAACGCCCGGGGGCGGGGGGTACACGATATATCCCTGGGTGGGGAGGTGCGGCGCGGCGCGGCCCCTCATACCCTTACCCTGTTCAAGACAAATATCGCTGATTTTCCTACCCTTTTTAAGACAGAATTTCGATTTTTGATACCCTGTTTAAGACATTTATCCTGTTTAAGACAAAAATTGATAAATCGATACCCTGATTAAGACAAAAAATGATAAATTCGATACCCTGTTTAAGACAAAAATTTCAAAAAACATACCGTGGCTGGTCGCACGTCCCCATTAAGCCCTTATAAGGGAGTACCCCCCCCGGGTGAAACGACAAATAAGAGCCAGCCGCCATGGGATAGCCTGTGTGCAGCTATTTTTATCTGTGTAAATGTTTTTTATCCCGTCGAGTAATAGCTTGCTACCCCGGCTAGCGACACAAGAAATTCAGCCGATATACCGCAAATAAACAAAGAGTGGGTGATGCATAGAATCATGAGTCATGATATGCACGAAATCCCACTCATGTATCGCGGTTTTGAAGGTGTATGCACGGAAAGAAAGGTTGGACCTCCAAAGGCACCGCAAACTAGCGGGGTCTGGGGGCATAGTCCCCCATAGAATTTTTCAAATTTAGGGTCTCAGAAATGCCATTACCTGCGTTTTCCGCGGGACATTTTCAGTAAATAAATACGAAGGAAAATGCAATAATAAGCCGGTTGTTTTATTTTCATCTGCTAGTGTTATCGGTAACGAGCAATGTTTGCGGAAAAACGGTAAAACAGTGAGCCATTGAGGAGGTTACAAGCAAAGGGCGAGATGTCTTAAAACAATTCAGACAGGTAAAGACACCAATATAATGCGAAAGATTTATCAATCATTTTTTCCCAGATTTCAGCTGTTCGCACAGGGATATGTGCGTTCAAGGAGCTACGCCCCTGCTGTATACAGAATGCATACTATAACCAAACTACAATGTAGCTCTGTAGGAGAGTCATAATAGAGTTCAGCTAAGGTGAAGGCAATAAAGGCACAACCAAAAAAGGAAAAGGTTTAAAAAGCGAAAATACAACTCTCCCTGCTCGTGTATCACACTCTTTGGTTACATTTCTTTGTCTCCCTGCGCACAAGACTGACGACGTGAAATTTCCGATACACCTGTAAGAAGGAATCGTACCTCGCAGGTCTTACATTACTGCCGAGGGTGGCCACCTCGCCCGGAGAGGTATGACTTATTAATAATTAACTTCAAGCTTAAAATACTACCGTCTAGTAATTTCGCAATTCTCCTAAGGGCTTTTCGAAAAGCTCTTAATCTGTGTCTGAATGCACTCCCCAAATTGCTCAACATGTCCACAAACTTAATTCCAGAAGGCAAAGACCGAGTAGCCTGTGTCAAAGGCACTCTAAACCTTCTCAGACCTTCTGACCATAACAATCGTTTACGCGATACGTGGGCCGGCTGCAACGCAAGCTAAGACTGAGAAATATATCTAAAAAAATAATTTTCCTAGGTAGAGAGACTACCCAGACGGTAAATAACACATATTTATGTTTTGTGAGTGGTGGACTAAAGTCTTAACGAGTTTCTTGCCTTGAGATGAAACGTAAAAAGGCATTTATCATAAAACAAATAAGTACGGAAAAAAAAAAGAAAAGAAAAAGATAAAAAAGTTAAAAAAAAGTGAACGCAAACACCCTGCATGCAAGACAGACCTGCTAATAAGGATATTGAAACCAAAAAATCCTGTAGTGTAAGACTCTCCGGAATGTCTATATCCTATCACAATACTAGAAAAATTGCGATTTTTAAATTCTCCCCAAGACAATTCTTCTTAAAACAGTGTTTCAAATTTCACACTCTAGACTTGCCTTTTTCTGAGACAAGAACTTTTCTGAAAATTGAGTTGCAGGGCTGGACAACGAACATGTCCTCAACACCCATGCTCCACTCACCAAACACATCAACAGCCACACTTCCGGTTGAAAACATGGTTGATGTCACGGATTTCGGTCACGCTAATGATGTTAGAGATAGTATATACTTGCGAAAAACGTTGTACTTTATGGTATGGGACACGATGAGACAACAACGTATTTTTATTATAGTTCCTCTAATTAATACATTGAAACTAAAAAACACTTTTTCTTTTAATTGAGTTTAAGCATAACCGTCCTTTAAGGGTCTTTAAGGCCAGGGCAAGACTGAGTTTTTTAAAAAAATTCAGATAAAAACCGGATGTGATTTGCATAATATTGATCCTTAGTAAGGATGTCTTTATTGTCTGATATTCAGTCAAATATACATAAAACTATACAGGCAACTGCACAATATTGTTTTAAAGGGACCCATTTGCACTGCATTTGCAGTTTTGCTGTAAAATTTCGCAGCCCATGTAGCATAATTGCACGTTTACTAAAACACGGAACATTCGAACAGGGTTGCGAAATTTTCTCCCGAGGCAATCAAGCGAGGAAACACTTAACCTTTTTGCGGTTAAGTTACGTCAAGTCTTTATTCAAATCCAGTCGTAGCTGCTTCACTTAGCACGTACATTGTGAAAAGCATCCACTTCGGAAGAGAAACAAATTGGAAAAAAAAAATGTCTCTCGATGGTTCAGTTTTACCGGAAGAGAAATTTGAAGCCGTTGCCAAGTGAAATGTTTATCAAAGCAGCTCGTAACCATTTCCGCCAAGGTTCTATTTCACGCACGCGCCCTTCGATATAAACAACTTGGGATCATAGCGACGCAAAGCCAATCAAAAGCCCGCATTTGGCGTCTGCGGATAATGCAATTAACTCGTAGCAACCAAGTTACCAATGAAATAGCAGAACGTTGTTTATACCGCCTTGTTACTTTGATTAATGGGTCTAGTCGGGAACAAAAGCCCGAGGACTATGGTTAGTCATTACATTTGCTAGTGATTGCTTGCAATAAGCGTTTGCCTCTATATGCTAAGTACTGAAAAGAACAAATTGGCGTCCAGTTATCTAGGGACATTCAAAATTGTCGAGCATTAACACCTTAAAGGAAATGAATTGCGCCAGCCTGGTAAACTAGCGAAGTACCAGCACTCAAATTCTGCCTTACAATTCGCCTGTTTTGATCACGTTTTGGAGCATAATTACTGACGTTTTTAAGCTCAGTAGTGAATTATCTGCCGGCAAGAAGAAGGTATTTCTGTGGTTGACTTGTGTTTATCGACTGGCGAGTATATATACAAGTCGCCTGTGGACATTAGTAGTTGACGGAAACACCAGAGTGCTTTTATTTTGCATTCGAAAGGATTCCAAATTGCAACACTTCTCTAGTTTTCAAGCTCCGATCTACTTGCCTTCGTGTTTCACCTTGTGAATTCATCTGGAAAACCCAGCACAGTTTGACTCAAGATAGACGTTCAGGGGTTCAGGAAAGACAAAAAAACATCAATATTAGTTCACTTTACTGTGTAGGTAGTTTGAAACGGGACATCTGCGTACACTTTTGACTTGTCGGGAATATTATGAACAGCAAAATGCCGGTTGCAGTACAGTCTTATGCCGAGAGATTTGCAGCAAATTGGAAGGCACAGAACCCTGAAGACGACGAGGACGAGAAATCATCGCTTGATGACAGTTTGACCAATCTGCAGTGGCTTCACAGCATCAGTATTCAGGACATCGCGCCGGTGACTACTTCAATTGCTCCTTCGCCTAGCCATTCCTCAAACTCATGTGATTCGGACGATCGAAGCGATACCAGCGACGGATATAAGGACATCAATTCCAAAGAACCAAACATTGATTACAAAAATGATGCGAACCACAAGCCCCCGTATTCCTACGCCACGCTAATTTGTATGGCCATGCGAGAAACCAATAAGACCAAGATCACCCTTAGTGCGATTTATAAGTGGATCAAGGAGAACTTCATGTATTACAGAGTAGCAGATCCAACATGGCAGGTACGAAATTTTCAACAATTATTTTTCAGTTTTTATTATATTTTTCGAGATTTCAGCGCAAACATTCACCGGCTAAACACCATCAGCCGACCATTGTATTTGATCTACCTCGTTACGCATATTCTCGTTAATGAGGGGCGTTTAAATTGATACGATTATAAGTTGTATTAGCACAAATTTTGATGGAAGATTTTTCCCTTTGTGTTAAACAATTTTTTTCGCATTTATTGGCGGCTTGTCTTTGGGTGCTTCGAATTTTTGAAAACCTGTATTTTGCTTCGACAGAGCGGGTTGCAATCGACTCAGACAGCAGGTCATAGGATCTTGTGGGGCGGATTGTGAATATGGTTTACAAATAAAAGCCACTTGGATAGCTTATGAATATATTTTGTTTACACTTGCATGGAATAATTTCCTTACCAAAATAATTTGAAGCGAAACACGCTGATCAGACTTAAGGAGTATTGTCCACCGAAGTTAAAAAATAGTCCTAATGGATTGTTTGCACTATTGCGGGATAGTTTTCGAATGTTATAAAGTGTGTTTTGACCGCAGACGAATTGCTCTATCGTGGACAACTTAAGCTTTCGAAGAGGAAAAAGTGGCAGTTATGCTCGCTGTTTTATTCGCTTTTCTTATTTAAATACATTTACAATAATACCCGCAAATTCATAATCGTGGGCGGAATTTTTTCGGCTTGGTTCGGTGAATTAAAGACAAGTGTCAGTGACATAATACCATTACCACCAATAACGATGTCCTGTACATTGGAAAGCGAATAATTATTTTTTTCGCATTCGCTTTCAACTATTAGATTTCGGGAACAAAATCCTCGATATTCGTGTTTTCTTGAAATTTGAAGGTTTCATGCAAATGTCTTGTATGACGTGTATTTTAATGTCCTTTTCAGATTTTCACACCGGGGCTATTTACTTCACGTCGAGACGAAACAATAGCAGTTTATGTAATTCTTTCACAAAATAATCTGACTGCCCCAATGGTGGTAGAACTCAAGTTTACAGTGAACAATAGTTTTGATTGCAAATATCCCTCCATAAAAAAGGAAATAGAGAGAAAATAAAAAAAATATAACATTCAGCAATGAGAAAAAGGATATAACTAAAGTACTTTTTAAAACTGTTGCCAATTTCCTTGCCATCTGAAACAGTAGTCATTCTAAAAATAAATTTTTCAATTAATAATAGAATAGCATAATATTATGTCTTACAAAAAAGAATATTATATTTACTTCAACATTGTTTTTATAAACCTAAAACTTTTAAAATGGTTTCACTGTTTCTCTCACTTTTTTTGCAATAACATTTCTTAATGTAGGAAAGTTTCAGTTAATTTTTTTTGCAGTAACATTTCTTAATGTAGGAAAGTTTCAGATAAGTAAATATAACTACTACTACTTATTATTATTATTATTTGTTTTCACACTATAAAATATGGTAAAATAAGGTGACAAGACATTAAATAATGTGAAAAGTTACAAAACGCAAGCAAACTGTTAATGGAAAGGAAGTCGGTGAGAAAATTACAAAACATAATTACCTAGGGACTATCACAGTTATATTTCAATATTCAAATGAATTCTCTTTGACTGTTAATTACAAAGTTAGAATAATTTTAATGAGACAAATAATTTTGAGGCAACACATTGCTTCCTTTTAAATTATTTTCACGCAGATCAGGGTGCAAAAACTATAACCATCATTGCAAAATGCTATAAAGTAATAAACTGCCAGAAAACTATAATTTTAAAGTTAATCATTCTGGGGTGCTATCTTAGGAATAACCAGAAATAGACTAATCCCTCTTGGCTTTACCAGTTATCAATTAATAAAAATTTCTCAAGCCTCGTACTATTCACAGCTTTGCTGTTAATGTGTCTTAATATTTTTTTAGCATTATCACACGCAAAAGTTTTCCTGTGTTGAGGTCACATCACTTAAACTGAAGAATGCACCAAATTTTTATCCTCTGTTTTGGAGGTCTATTAACAAACATCCGTTACCTTCAAAAGAAATAGAGAATGAGCTGTTGTCATTTAATGCCAATGGTACTAGGAAAACTGAGATGATTGCCAGTTGCCGATAAGAACATCTCTTTGTTACACAAGACAATAACAATATACTGTGAATTATAACCTTGAATCATTTTTCACTGTACCATCATGCAGTACCTGAGTCATGATAAGTACATGTGCCATATTAGCAATGTTGGTCCTGGATAAAATGTGACAACCACTGTAATAGTCATTTACTTAAAATTCTCTGCTAATTTTTTGATTCTTCACATTCACTGAAAAATCAAGACCTCATTAAAAAATAATAATTATTGTTGACAAGTGCATGTGAATTTAAGGGTGCAGGCTTTCCTCTCCTCATTACTGGCCATGGCCTTCTGGGGTGGTCAGTTCTGGAATATTTAAGGGCCTGTTTTCATGAAGGTGGGGGACCTCAGGTAGGTGAGGTAACATGTGGCAGGTTACCCCACCTAACCTGTAAACGTGATCACATTAAAATGAGATTGTATGGACAGGCGGGTTACCCCACCTAAGCGGGTTACTTCATCTACCTGGGGTCCCCCACCTCCATGTAAACAGGCCCTTAAAGTATTCCATTTTATCTGTTACGGTAGACCAGAGTCAGACCCTCAGCAAACAAAGCAAATTATGATTTTTGCTTTATTTTACTTCAAAGAGGCTCATTCAGCTCACAAACTAACTGACCGACGATTGTGCTGGTTAAGTTAGTTTTTAGTAAAGGAGAGTTTGTCTGAGTCATACGAAAAGATGTGGAAAAGGTATAATATATTTATTTTTGCCTGACTGATCGGCATGAGTGTGGACACAAAATTAATACATTTTGGTCCAACAGTATCACAACAATGGGTAAAAAAAGAATATTTATAATGTAATAAAAAAAAAAATTTCCCACCATGCCATAATATTACAAAGGTCTTGCTTACTGTAACCTTATTCACTGAAATTGTCTTTGCTTGCCTTTCAGAATTCAATTCGCCACAATCTATCCTTGAACAAGTGTTTTGTAAAGGTTGCCAGAAACAAAAACGAACCAGGCAAGGGAGGCTTTTGGAAAATTGACCCTGCTTATGCTGATATGTTTGTTGATGGAGTCTTTAAGAGACGAAGGGGTGTTAACACACAGAAGCCTTCTAAGAGAGGCTCTTCTTCAAAACCAAGTAAAAAGGCTTCAAACAAGAGACCATCAGACAGTGTAAAACAAGAAAATGATGAACCATGGGCAAAAAAGAAATTTAAACCAGTTAAAATTAAAATTGAACCGGAGAGCGATGAAGAGGAGTTCTACGAAGAGGAGGAAATTGCACCATTTTCTGGTGGAATTAAGGAGGAATTCAGTTGGATGACAGTGTTAACAAATGATGAAATTGATGAAAGCATTAGAGAAATAGCTGATGCTCACGGAATTTCCTTTGAGAATTCACTATCTACTATAACCCTTTCGGGTATTACCACGCCCAATTGCCTAAGCCCCCCGCCATCAACTGAAAGTACTGAGGAGAATTTTCAAGTTGATCCTGACCTGGACTTAACAATAAGAGGAGTGGGACTCCTTCCTTCTCGTGAAAATTTAGCAACACCATCACCAACAACCTTGACAGATGCTGCACAGTCTGTGTTCAACATGCCGCCATCCCCACCCCTGATGTATGAGGAGGAGCATCCCTGGGCAGAGACTGGGAATGACTTTTTTGACTGCTTTGAGCTGGATGAAAATAATAATATTTGGTAATCTTAAGATGACCAGCTGTAGGCTTTTTCCTTCAATTAGTGCCCAGAAGTTCTATGTCCACGATGAACAACTCATAATTTTTGGAATGATAACAGTAACATAGAAGTCAACTCATCCACTTCAGCAATCATCTGAAGTTTTCTCATCTAAAATGTATATAATAAAAGAAATCATCCAGACTAATGCACTTTTCATGAGGTCAGGTATAAGGTTCTTTTTTAAAACATAATTCTCATAGCATGTAGCCAGTTTCCCCAAGAGCTAATAGTACAAGCATGAAGTTAACATACCTACAAGTTATGTTGAATTTCATGTTAGATTTTATTTAGCATTCTCTAAGAGAAAAAGTGAATTTTGTAACACAACATGAAGGTTTTAAGTTAAGAAGAAACACTAGCTCTAAAAGCAGTATTTTTGTAAATAAAGAAATGTAAAGTGAAGTTGTCATAATTCATAGATCTTTTAGGTTGTAGTTTATGTTGTATACTGTAGATAAGTAGTTACCATATGAATGACAGCTATATTAGAAACAACTGGCAAGAATAAGGCGGGGCCCTCGTTCTTTACAAGGCGTTCTGGTGTACATATATAAGGATTATAAATTTCAAAGGATTCAGATTAGATCAGTGAGTCCACTTAGATTGTTGACTCTTAAGATTTTTGACTCTCTCCTCCACGGAGGCTCCCCTGGTTTTTCCACTAAAAATAGCAATAATATTATTATTTGGCATGCAGTGGACAATGGAAAGAGGGAAAACGCTTTGATTTTCCCCTCTCTCCAGCCTTCCTAAGACACAAAGAAACAGTTTGGAGGAGAGAAGGATTTTGATCTTCACAAAGAAGAGCACCCTTAGTAGCCCACGAACACAGACGTATTTTCAGTCGACGCTTCTCTCCACCTGTTATTTTAAGTGACAACCAGAAATACGTCTGTGTTTGCAGGCTACACCCTTAGTTGCTGGATGCAGTTGTTACAAGTAATGGGGTTGCAATCATGCTGCACTCCCTTCATCAACTTATGCAACACAGGGTATAAAATAACTACAATTCAAAGATTTAAATAGGCAAAGTTTAATATTTTGAAAAGCTATCAGATAATTTTTGAGGAGACTGAGAGAAAACTAACTGTCAAACATTGTGTGCCCAAGCAATTTGGATCAGTTTTCGGCAATATTTCATTATGACACGCAGAGGCAAGTAGACTTTGCAATTCTTAATTTTTCAGAGTAATAATATTAAGAATGACAGTCAAAGGTATTGCACAAAAGTTGAGATTATGGTTTTTGTTATAGATTGAATTAAATATTGTAAGAAAGAAACTATTGCTATTTTTTAAGAAAACAGAGTGTATAGCAAAGCATAGTGTATGTACATATTTTATAATATATTATTTTGCACCACTTCCATATAAATTCCACTTACCACTCGTCTACAAAGCATCAATGAGATTCACTGCGGATATTTTTAATTTGGTGGTTATTAACCCTTTAAGTCCCAATATCCACATACAAATTCTCCAAACTGATCTCCATACATTTCCTTGAAGAATTAGTCGAGAGAATTTGGTAAAAGATCAAATATTTTTCTCTTTGTGATCATTTTGTTAATTCTCATGACTTTGCTCATGATAGTCTATGGATATCATTAGGAGAAAATTGATTTTGAGCACTATTGGGACTTAAAGGGTTAATATCTTGAAGTTTGTGGAAGACTAGTCAGTCTCATATTGCTTAAGTAAAAAGTAAGCCTTAGCCATGCAACAAAGGAAAGTGAAATAATTTTGGTGTGTGGAGAATGATGAATAAACTGTGTGTATTTTGAATACTGTCTGACATTTTACCTGTTGAAAAAATGAGGAAAAAAAAATCCCTTTCATGTTACAGTGGAATACCAATTTTCCAATCTTCCAAGAATAATCAAACAAGTTTTGAACAAGGGCCAGAAATTGAAAAATTAGGCTAAGGTAAAATGATGTCAGTGTTTAGCAGGGAAAGGAAAATCAGTTTTGGTTCGAAACATTTTCTCCTGTCCAAGGTTCAAATAATCATGAGGTTTAAAAAAAGACAAGTAGGATACATCAAACAATAATATTACTATTCCAGAAGTTAGGGTATAGTATAGTTAAATCTACTAAATTTCAAGGATTGGTCTGCAAACTACCAAAACTGAACAAGACCCAACTTTACTGAACAAAAAAAACTGTGTCCTGCAAACTGGAGTTTGGACATTTCAAATGGCTCTTTCTTGAACTTGTCCACTAGGGGAAAACATTTATTATTTTTTTCTTGTGACTTCAAACACAATCTTGAGAATTACTGTGCTTTACAGGAGAAGAAAAGCAATCATTGGATTGATCAATCAGTAGGTTATCAAAAATCAGATGCTACTAAAACCAGTTATTTCAAGTCATTTTCAAAGTATTTCTTTTTTCTCAAAGAATATCATGAAAGTTTAAATGGATACTAAATTTTAAAACAAAAATATTATAAATCTAACCTCTATTTTTATAACTTAAAACTACCGACAGTGCCCATGACACAAACTTGCATGATGCATGAATGAGATTATGTAATATAATTTGTATGTTGCAATGGAAAATGACTAAAAATTGGGAGAATATCTTTGTACATTGTATATACATCATATAAGAGAACAATAATAATAAGTATTATATAATACCCTAGGTACCTCAAAAGACACAAATGCCCAGTTAAATTTGTAGTTAATAGGTAGCTTAGTTCATGCACTGTATACCAGTCATTAAAAGGTACAGTAAGTAAAAATGCCTTTTTGGCATAAATGACCCTTGCGCATGATTACGCCAGATGAGCACATTTCCACACCAAGCCTCATTAATTTGTTAGCAAATTAAATTCTTCACATATTTGCCCTCTTTGTGTGGGTGTTCTTTTCAACTCTTACTGCACTGCCTTAGGAATATTCACTTATACAGAAATTGCAACTTTACAATTTGAAAATGAGGGTTGGTGGTGAAACTTGCCGGTATGATGTAAACATGCCTAAGGGCTATCACATTAATTTTACTTTCATCTGAAAAAAGATATACAATACTGAATACAACATCAAGATCCTCGGTGTTAGCAAGCTGTTCCTGAAGGTAAGTCTAAGCTTTGTAAGACTGAGAGACTATTTATAGCAAAATCCCACACCTGCAGATTAAAAAAGGGTTATTTCAGTGGGTTGTAGTTTGTGCTGATTTTATTAACATGTTAATGCAAGCATAAATAAATAAAGGGGTGAGTGGAATAAGGCCCCAAATAACACCCAGGGAGCTCACCATTCACAAAAACCATCTAGACGAAATCTGGGGCATATAAAATGTTTAACAATAAAAGCATAATAATTAAATTTGACCTTGCGGGAAATGGACGCCTCTGTCTGCAGCCCATATTTTCTAAAGCTTCCCAAATCAAATGATGCAAACCATTTGATATTCCAACCTGAAGATCCAGTTTGCAAATGTAAATGGTAAGTACTTCTGATTTAATACCAAATTCTCTCTTTAATTCACAAGTTAAAATGAAAGGAGTGACCAGGTATTCTGAAGTTGCTCCCATAAGTTAAAAGTTTACAAAGCTGTTGGACAAGACTATCCACAATAACAAAATGGTAAATTATTTGTGATGAACACCAGAGTTTAGTACTCTTACCTTGATCTCACCACAGTTATCACCACTAATAACCCACTGATCATTAAAAGTTACACAGGAAACCCCTGAGGAGTGGTCTCCAGGTAGAGTCAACTGGCAGTCACCACTCTCCAAGGACCATACCTTAAATGAAACAAGGATACTGTCAGTCCTTGTCATACTCTTGAGAACAGAACCATTTGTTAACCCGGCATCTAATAAGAGTAACGAGCTTTAGCAATAACAATGGTGACAGCAAAGAGAACATCAAAAAGGCAATAGGTTTAGGTTAGCAATACAATTGCATGACTACAATGTGAAAACGACTAATTTCACATTTTATGGAGCAAGTAAACAAGCACCTATGAATTTTTCTTTCTCTTTCTAGACTTAAGAGCAGTCCACAAGGAATCAATCCAAGGGAAATTCGCCTTCATTTGACTTTTTCAGCAAATTTTAATAAATGCGACAAAGTTTGGAAAAATGCAAATTCATTTTAAAAGTGACGTTTTCGCTACTGTTTCCATCACTGCTGCTAAATCTCCCTATTGTGTCTCTTGGGCAGCAGTCAATGAAATGAATGCTTCCAAAGAAATTTCACTAAAGCATCTGAAATGTAATATAACAACACAAGCAAAAGGCAACTTCAGGGGGGACGGAGAATCAAATGTGAACATGACAGGAATGCTTGTCATCATATTTTTCTCAGGAGTAGTCTCACTTAGGTTGTTCAGGACAGAACTTCAATATTTTTTCCCATAAAGGTAAAGGCACTGTCACAAAGAAATACTGCCAAGCCCAGATTGGTTTCCTGCTCTGATGAGCATCCCTGTCTCTTTCATGTGGGAGTGTGAACCCATCCCACTGCTATGGTACAATGCTTTCTGGGAAACTACCCACCTACCCCTCCCTTAAGCCAACATTAACACTTACTTCTCACTTAGGGAAAACTGTTGGATTAGGGGAGGGGTAGGTGGGCAGTTTCCCAGAAACCTGTATTGATCCTGTAACTCTGACTGCAGTCGAACCCCTACTAACGGCCACTTTTTTTGTCTTGGCAGACAAATAATCCATACATTGACTCCCCTTTATAAAGCTCTCTACAGTGGCCACCTTTTTATAAAGGCCACTCTCATCTGTCCCCAAGGTGGCAGTTGTGGAGAGGTTCAAATGTACTTTTTGGAAAGGATCTACAACTTTCTCTCTTACCTTGGGTAACAATCCAATTACCTTCTGTGGTCATGCTATCATACACCTTACAAAGAGTTTGATGTAACTATAGATCTCCTCTTTAAAAGGACTGCTTCCTCAACAACTTAGGATGCATGGCAAAAAGCAATACATCTTCAGAAAACGTGATCATTTTTGATGAAAGGACCCTTTTTTATTTGGGACACAGTCTTACAGAGCTAGTAGAGTGCAACTTTCTAAAAGCATGACATGCAGTGAAAGCTTTCCAATTGTACTATGAAACTTGGTAGAGTACATTGATAGAGAAGCTCTCACATACAATTTTGGGCCAACTGTCGCAGATTGTCCTGTATTTATATTTTGCTCGTGAAATATAAAAGAGAAATTTGGCATTGCATCAAGACACTACTGGGCTTTACTCCAGGCACCCTTTATTATTATTAGCAACTCACGCAGTGCATACAACTTGGCATGAAGTAACTGAAAAACTTATTAACTATTTATCATCATGGACGTTAACAGCGAACCTCTTTACCTGCAAGAACAAAGCCCCTTAAAACAAATGGGGTACAAAAACATACCTTTACAGTTCTGTCATTGGATCCACTAACAATTTTATGCATGTCCACATCAGTGCATGTTATGGCACCTGTTAAAAATAATCATGCCAATATTGAAAACGCGAAACCCCCAAAATCAGCGGTTGGCTTTAATGCCAAAATTGTTAGGGAACTCAGCTTTCCATCTTACGCCTGTGCTGTAGTCTGTGGGCAGGTCTGAGATAATCTTATTAGCCAATTAAACCAAAAAACTTGAACTGATTTACCAAAAAAAACATAAACAACTGCAATATGTATTTTTTAGACTTTCTTAAAATCCTGTAAGATTTCTCCAACGTCCTTTCTGTTAAGGACCTTTGCAGGGGAAGATATTAGTTGTGAAAAAACCCGTATTGACTGTATCTGTCGCTTACTAACTCATGCCAGGGCTACCCACAGACCTGTCAGTGATCTGTCCCGATCAGCAGCTGTAAAATTGACCAATCAGCTACTTTGTTTCTGGACTGACAGAGGTTTTGTTGACTGCAAAAGAGTCTAGAGTCTGCCTTTTTTCGTCTCATACCAATCCCTTACTGTAACATCATTGTTTGCAAATACACTGGCTGGGACAAGAACTCCAAGGATTTTAAGAGTTAAGACAGACTTCAAGCAGTCTACTTGTGTTAAATCCGATAACATATGTAACTGAGTTTTTTCATTTCCACACACTCTAAGTAAAAGTTACTTAGATAATAGTTAGTTATAACATTATTGTAACTATATAAGTAACAAGTATGTACCTGTATGTCCAAACAGGATATGCCTTCGGCATTGCGTGGCTGTGTCCCAAAGTGAGATAGTGTTATCATTTTGCCCAGATGTTACTAATTTGGTACAAGGACTGATGGAAAGGCAAGACACAGATGTCCTGGAGCCCATTTGCTGCAATAAAAGAAAAATCACTTCAATCAGACCAATACCACCATAACTGTAAAATAGTTGGTCCTAGGTCAAGAATATACAAGTAAATTATATACGTTGTTCCATGATATGAAATTAAACAACTACAGAAGAAAAAAAGTGTAGAAGACTTTTCCAGTAAAAAGGTATTCACATACATCTTTCTGATTGGCTTTGGGACTAACAGTAGCCCAGTTTGGAAGATTTACATCATTCATAAAAAATATTTTTTATGAACTGCTCGATTGATAGTCTTACACATTTGCCATTTTCAGGTAATATTTGTACGTTTTACTAAATCTGTAGCTGTTATCATATCAGTGTAATTACAGAGATGAGAAGTGTGATGTCACAAAAAGTCAAATTTGTGAAATTATGGGATTGGTTAGCATAAATATTCAGAAAGACCAAGATGAAAAAAACTCCCTCGCCAAAAATCAGCCTGTTAGTGAAAATAAACACCAGGGCCCAGTTGCTCGAAGCATGGTTAGCGTTAACCAGCGTTTAATACCTTGACAACGTATTGGTTTTGATACTGCTTAATCAATGGTTAAAGCTAACCATGCTTTGAGCAACTCAGCCCTGGATTGTAATGTTTTTACGTTAGGCCTGGATTGTAACGTTACGATCCAAGCCAATTTTGGAAGGATTTGCATGGAGTCATCAGAGCAAAACATTGCTTATATCTTACTGCCATTTTGCACCAACAGGCTGATTTTTAGCACGTGAACATTTTTCATCTTGTTCTTTCTGGATACTCCAACCAATCCCATAATTTCACAAATTTAGATTTTGTGATGCGTTCACTTCTCTTCTCTATTACAAGAATAACAAGAAAATTATCAAAAAATCCCACAATCAAAATAATGCTTACCTCCTTCTGTGGCTGCATCCATGTCTTAAGATTATTTGATGGATAGCAAACACTATCATCCTCGTCATCAGAACATTCTATATCTTCAGCTGTATAGACAAATAAATTGCCAGTACACTGTATTAGAAAAAAAAATCAGAGACTTCTTTACAACATATGAGTCATTCTCAAAGCACCAAAAAAAATATATAATTAAGAGATCTCAAACAATTTAAATTGCTGTAACAAATACTGAATTAGGTCAATCATTTTGTTAACATTGCCTTTGGGGGCAGTCACTTTAGCCATTTTTCGCTCCCTGCCCTCCCTTCCCTAAGTAAGTGTCTGTGAAACTCTCCACTGAGACACCTTTCCTGCACCCATCTATTGGCCATGGATAATCAACCAGCTGCAAATATCTTTCATGCTATAAGTTGCGTATGAAGTACAAACACTGTACATACCCACAACATCAAGTCTAGGCCCAACATCAAGAAGTCTGGAACCTTGAAATCTCACTGCCTGTTGAAATATGTCAATGATAGCACTTTACAATATACATGTAAGAGATGCTGCGGCCTAGTGATTAGTGCTATAAACTCCTTATTAAGAGGGCCAGGTTTAGGTCCTGTTATATTAGGGTCATTGTGTTGGGTTCCTTGGCAAGACACTTTACTCTCATGGTGCCTCACTCCACCAACATGTAGAAATGATGGCATCCCATCCTAGGGGGGAACAGAAGTACTCCAGGTTGCTTCATGTTACAGAAACCATTCAAGGCTGTGCTCTAACATAAAAGATTTCCTTGTCACGCAAGAGCGAAAGTAAGGTGTTAGGGACCACTGAACACTGCTAAAGGACAGCCCTGCGTTTTTGGACCCTGGCCTGATGCCCCACTTGGCTTAAATGCAGACATAACCTTAACTTTAAAAATGGAAAAGAGCTACATGTAACCTTTAATGTATAATTTCTAATGAACTACTATAATACAATAATATCGTCATGAGTGGATGCCTTTAGACCAAGGGCAGTTCTCTAGTATGCTGTGTCCACTCTACATCATTCTATGGGGGATCATAAAAATCTACTGTACATACAGTGGACCCACAGACAACCTCTGTAATCGACACAACTAAAGAATAAGAAGCAATAATATCTACCTGAAAACCAACAAGATTCCAATTTTGTAAAACTTCTGCAGCATGTGATATAGACACAGACCATACATCATCAAACGGTTCTCTTTTTAGTTGAATATCTAACACAGAACACCTGTGAAAGTGAAAAGTATTAATACATCAAAAAATAAAATACTACAAAATATATTTAATACCAAATATTATATTTAATGTATAAATTATATTCAAAGCAGTTAATTTTTTATTTTAGTTAACTCAAACCGCAGTTAGGTCCTTTCTATTTTTGTCATTTTTAACGTTTCTTCGCTAACTTTTATTTTCCCATTGTTTTGGAGAAAGAAACAAAAACCATGGACATTTGAAAATCTCCATGAAAATCTTGTTCCAATCCTAAATCCTAAGATCCTAAAAGCTGAATTTAAAACCCAAATTTTGCATCTGGATCAGAAGGCCGCCAAGAGTACGAAAAAGTTTTAGCAAAACAGTGACCAGAAAACCACTCGATTAGCTTCAAAACGCGTTTTTCGGCAAAATCTCCAGGAGCGAATGGGTTAATTTTTATTTTCCCATTGTTTTTGGATTTGGTAATCTAAATACTAATGAATTTGAAACAAAAGAAAAACAAAAAGTACCAAATAACTGATTAGCTGCGACCGGAAACTCATTTCTGCTATGACATAACTATATAAATTGCTCAGATTTGGGAACTATTAAACGTATACACATAATATGATACAATTATTATAAAATGCTGGAAATGACACTTCCCAGCCCCTAAATTTAAAAAGTTTCAGGGGGAGCATGTCCCCAGACCCCCTAGGTTGGGCTACCTTTGCCACTTCAACTTTTCTCCCCGCGTGCATACACCTTCAAAATCTCAAGCTACATCCCTGGTTATGCAGCTCATTGTTGAACAATAAAACAAGTTAGGACACAGTGTGATGCCAGAGAGCCATGCAAGAAAATTACAAAACAAATTTAAAAAGCAGTGATATGAAAAAAAAAAACAGCTAACCAAATTAAATATACATAAGTGTTTAACCCTAAACAGTGCTAAACCCTAATCAGTAAAAAGTGCTTAACTCAAGTCAGTAAAATGGGCACTTAACCTTAATCATTGTAAGTCGACCAAGACTGAGTAATTCTTCAAATATTCCAGCAGCAAAACCGCACATACCCACAAAGAACTAAGCAGGAAACATTTTTCATGTATTTGCAAATTATTTCATAAAACTTTATTTTTTTTCCATAACTCACAGACTGTTTGGTCCCAATATTATAATCAAAATTTGATTATAACGACTCAGTGTTCTCACCAGGACTTTGCCTTGGGGAGTCCCAGGGCCCCCTCTTCTGAGAAATACGGGCCCTGTAAGAACAGTAGGGGTACAAAGTTACAAAAAACACGCGGTACGAAGAACCTGAGCCCGCACTCCAAATTGTCTGTTACATGAAGTACCTACCTGATCCAATATGGCGGAAGAGGTGTTTATGATTCGGAGGAGGAGTTTACGATGTAGTGGGACGTGCGTGGGACCAATGAAAGTAAAGGCAACAAAATTAAAGACTTTGACTCATTTGATATCATGTTTTTTATTTATTCAAACAAACAGAATGCTTCAGTGTTAGGTTGACCATTAAAACTACTTAAGTCCGTTTGACTCGTAGCTTGCCCGTCCGCCCTAATGGGTGCATCTTCTTGGTTTTAATGCGCCATTTCAGTTTTTCTTGCGGGAATCCCGCAAGGCCGCGGCCTGGTGAGAACACTGATTTAATATTATAATGCTATAATGCTATTTAATAGTAGCTGTGATAACCAAATTTCATATTATTACTGGTACAGTACCTTGGTTTAAAAGTTGTCAGAGTATGGAGACAAAGACAAGAAAGCTGACCACCTTTACTGAAATCCAACTGCCAAACTTTAACAATACACTGAATTGTAACTGTTGCAATCTTGTTATCCACTAGATTGACACGACACACGGCAGTATTAGGAGTAGAGGTGTTATCTCTTGTAGTAAACTCTCTTGAAATCTCTGATAAATTAACCTGAGTTAGGAGAAACTTCTCCCTATGGAGATCCCAAAGGCAGAACTGGAAATAAAACAAAGTATTAGTTATTTAAAGTATTGTATCAAAGAATCCTACAGCTGTATGCTGTGTTGACATACAGATGACATTTTTTGCCTGTACTGCAAATATCTAAGACCATAAATATGATATCAATGTTTTACCCAGGTAAACCTGTTATAAATGAATTAAAGTTGTCAGAATGTTGACTGATCAAGTAAAGTTGATGTCACTGATTTTTAACACTTCCATATGGTCAAGGTAGTGGCCATGGTTAGGGTGCATCAATGGATAATTTTTTCATTTCTTTGCATCTGGACAAAACCAATTTCGCAAACTTACGTATCTTGTGAGGTTCTCGTGCATTATTTCAATTAAACAACACTGATGTGACCTCAAAAAGTAACTTGGAACTGTCACAGTATACAGTGGTTACAAATCTTTACTGGTAAATGTTGTGATTCAATTTTGTTTTTGGTTCAACTTTGATCTTATATGTACACACCTTGTTATTAAAGAGGCCAATGGCCAGTAAGTTTCTTGAACCTTCACTTCCAAAGTCCACACAACCAACAATGCTTTCACAAAAGACCACTTGAAGTGATTTCTTGTTGATTAAACTCCACAAGTGCACTAATTTAGAGTCATGATTGACACTTGCTAAAAGGCTACGGCCACAATTTGAGATTTTTAAGCAGATAATCCTTGAGAACTCCTTCTGTTGTGTGGTGACAGTCTTTCTGTGGAGACTCTGAACATGGCAGTGACCACTGAACCAGTTTGATCGTAGTATAAACAGTTCCTTCCACTGAGTTGGAAACACATTGTTATAGTAAGAAGGATCTAAAATGAACTTGTCAAAAGTTTCAATGAATAATTTTTTCCATCTGTATGCAGGAACAATTTTTTTTAAGTTAAGGAAAATCAGAAACAAGTTGTATTCAAATTTGCCATATTCATTTCTCAACAACGAATAGTAACATGTACATTAGACTACGAGTAGTTCCCCATTTTTCCTCAGGGATAGTAGAGCAAGCGAAATGCGAGCACGCGTGAAAATCACCCCACGCGAGAAAGGGCTACACGCGGCGGGGAGAGAGAAAAATGAGGGACTACAGACAAAGCCCAAGCTTTTGACCCTTCACGGCCGACTGATTTTGGAGTGTGAAGTTCGTATCCCCTTCCAAATCAATTAAGCGCATCTAAAGGCATCCCTTCCCTTATTGAGCTGTCATTGCTCTTCTCATCGGTAAACTGCGGGGGATGTTTATTGCAAGCAAAAGAAAACCCAGATACTAATTTTGTTCATGACTGTTTCGCGTGAAAAACTTGATAGTGTAGGCAACACACGACTTTTACTCATGCCAAAATGCTGCTTATTCCAATGAATTTTTTTCTCTGACGGGTAGATTATGCTCTGGCAAATGTGATTTTTGCTGCTTATTTCATTCTGAGAGGTCGTGACACGCACATTAATTTTCTGCGGTTATTGTCTATGGTCGGCATGATTTGCCCTCTGATGCAAGAGCATTTTCTTTGACCTCTTTTAAAAAGTAAAGCTCTTCAATGTGGCTAAATAAGGGTTTTGGGTTGTTTAATTTCTCTGGCGATTGCCTCCTGGATCTGAATAATTTTAAGCGATTTTCTTTTTAACCGTGAATGTGACAGTTTCCTGCAATGTTTTGTCATGCTGGGCCAAGCTCGTTAGCGTTTTTAGCAGGACGGATAGTGATATCCAAATCTCGAAGAATGGATTGCAGCTTAAACCAAAACAACATTAACTATGGAGAATTGCGATGAGACTCAGTCATGACTGCTCATGAATTTTAACAGCCGCTTGTTTTTCTGGAGATAATGTGAGTCTTTGAACTGGAGCACGTAGTTCCTCCCTTGGTGATAACTTTTGAATTAGCTTAACAGCCTTGCGACAGTTCTGTTATCACGCAAGACCACGGTTTCGGTTCTCCACGCGAACCTCATTAGTTGCCGAGTTGGCTTTCTGCTTAGTTGCTTTAACAAGAGCAACTCTAGTTATTTGTTCTGTGCTGTTATTTGTTCTGTAAATTGTGATTATGTTGAGTGTTGATAGCGGCTGGTGCGTTTTTGACAGATGCTGACAGATTTCCATGGAAGGGCCAATCACAGTTTTGCGTTGTGAGAGCAACGCATTAGTTCAAAAGCTTGGGCTTTGTCTGTAGTCCCTCATTTTTCTCTCTCCCCGCCGCACGTCGCCTTTTCTCGCGTGGGGTGATTTTCACGGGCCCTCGCGTTTCGCTCGCTCTACTATCCCTGAGGAAAAATGGGGGACTACTCGTAATCTACATGTACATGGTTTGTTAAATTTGATAAAACTTCCTTTGCTTTTATACATGTACAAAATTGAATGAGAACCAAATGTATCTTACACACTTATAAAATACAGTAGAACCCCAGTAACTTGCACTTGAATACTGTAAAAACCCACGACCAAGATCCTAATTTTAAGAAACTTTTAGGCTAAAATTTTTCAGTTAGGCCCCCTCAAGAAAGGAACCAACTTAGCCTAAAATTTGAAACAGGTTATTATTTTCTAAAGTCTATAAAAACAATTAATTGCCTATGCTTGAGCCAAAGAACTTCAAATTCATGCAGTCAGTTCTTCAGACCTTAACCCTGCAAGAAGAGGCCCTTTGATCTTCCTAGATAAGTTGGGAAGAGGACTTATCAATGAAGATCGATCCCGACTTATCTAGGAAGATCGAAGGGCCTCTACTTGCAGGGTATCAGTCCTTCTTCTCAAAGTCATTTTTAGATATTAAAATTAAATATTGAGTACTAATTTGGTATGCAGATTTTATATAAGAAATAAGCTGAATACCACTAAATACTCATAGCACCCAAATAAGAACCTAAAATTTATGTAAGAACCTGTTTAGACTGACTTGGGAGAATGTAGGTTCTTAGTCGCGGGTTTTTACTTTAACTCAAACTCCCCTTTCACTTCAGAGTTCCAGGGGTTCTACTGTAGACGCATCAGGAGAAATATGGACACATCAGGGGTGGAAAGCTGACAAAAGAGGTTTAAATTACATGTACCAGTATACTGTGCAGTTTGAGCCGGCGTGTGTATGTTGCATTTTCTCACACCACGTATTAAACTTTTTGGCCACAGCCGTATTGAACAACTGCAAAAAAGGATACAAATGAAAGTCGTTTGCCAGACGACACCATGCAGAACACACCTAAAGAAATATGTAATAAAAACACAAGTCAAAAAACATTCGCCGGCTCTTTCACATTGTCCACAATACAACTTGTTTACCCCATAAAATTTAACACAAACATTGTTTTCGCTTTCTCTTGGGACGAATGCAATACCCAGGAGAAATTGAAAACAATTCTTATAAAAAAACAAGCTCGTAAACTTCCCGCCGGCCTGGCAAAAAAGCATGCGAACATCAAGCATTTTTTCACGAAAATGAGCAACACTGCATACCTGGGAGCATCTGCAAAGATCTCGAGCCGATAAAAAGCGAAAAATTCTCACTAAAATTTCATCACTTAACTTCTCCATGACGATTTCAAAGACTAAAAACTAACAAACGCTGATAGAACGAGAAAATTCATTAATCGGCGCCATTTCGAGCGATTTCGCCGCCATCTTGATCTTGATACTTGTTTACGTGAAACAGGAGAGGTCCTGGAGCAAATTAATTTCCAGATCTTCGCGATCTTCGCTTCTTCAGTGGGACTGGAACTAAGCAAACCCAGGAATTCCACGCAACTAATAAACAGTCAAACCCAGTTGTTTTGAAAATTTTTGATCACTGCGGCGATGAAAAACACAAGGTAGTTATAAACTTGGCCCTGTCCTTAAATTTAGGGATATTCCGGACTGATAAACTTGTGCATAACTTAGCAAGCCACAAAATAAAAACATCAAATGTTTAAGACCCGGTTTCAAAATCAAATTTTTAAAATTGCCAAGGCGTGTGAGAAAACTGTAAGTAAATACCGGCTTTATGCACTCGTCAACAACAACAACAACAACAATGTGGTGAAAGAATGAAAGATGGTAAATTTTAGGGCCTGTTTATGTATCGGTCAATCTTTTTTTTTTAGAACGCTTTGTATGTTGCATGACGAAGAAAAGCTGAGCATTCAATGACCTTGTAGCAGCGATTTCTGCTGCTTTGCACGAGAATTTTGTTCGTAGTAAATACGCTAACAGTGTTTCTCAGTTTTTGTTATATTTATACAGATTTTGTTCGACAACTGAAGGCGTTTCCGCCGTCCTTCTGTCATTTTTGTGCCTGTGAAATGTCCCCAGGGTAGGGGCATTTGATCACCTGAATGGACCCTAGTGTGGGGCATTTGAACGGCATTTTGGCGCTGGTAGGGGGGAATTTGAACAATAATTTTCAAAAAAGTCAAATGCCCGGGGGGTTGCCCGGGGGGGCATGTTGATGCTTCGATTTGACCAATACATTATAGCGGAGCTCTGCCGCGCGAAGCGCGCCTGTGGAGGACCATGGGTAAGTAAATCTACCCATCCCAGAAAATTTGGTAATCACGTGACCGTACACCGCCCGCCCGCCCGCCCGCTTCTTCAGGGCGGAAAAATGTTCTGCGCAAGCTTCTGCGCATCCCTATCGTAAGCTCAAGGCGGGCTTTTCTGTGTGTTGACTGTGTTTGTTTGTTGCTGGAGTTCTGAGTGAAATGCACGAGGTGCGAACGTTTGCTCCCTGTAAAGCATTTTTATTTGACATGTTTGCTTTTTTTCGTCGCTTAAAAATTACTTTGGATTCAGCGTAACCAATGTTAAAGGAAAAACGGATCTTTCCGTCAGTCTGAGGTGGAATAAAAGGTTTTGAACATTTCTAAAGGGCCGAGTATTTTTTCTGATTGTGCATCCGATTAATTTATGAGTTGATTTCGCCGGGTTGAATTAAACCCGCTTGTACTCTGTTATTACTAGTTACTGTTACTTTTTTTACATGCCCAGATCTTTTACCTTGCAGAACCAGCTTTATCTTAGTCTTCAGTCAAAGAACCATATTGCTGTTATAACGCATCAGAGTGAACAAAATTGTGCGCTTATTAAACTTTCTCGGAAATAGAAGGCCAGCAAGCTTACTCAAGGTCATTTTTCTGTCGCTCAAGTAATAATTGTCAATCTGAGAGTTTTTTTTCGTTTTTCATTACATAGTTTTGTTTTTCAGTGCACTGTGAAAGCTTCTGTTCTTTATAAGAATAACTTTCTGTACGCAAATTGTCCTTTTCACTCGCTGTGAACTGAGAGAACGACAACTGCCGGCAGTGACTTCAAAACAATTGACTCTTTTCCCGTAAACAATTGCTGCAGCTGGTTTTACTCTGTTTTACTGGGGCGAGCAAAACAAAACCTTGTGTGCAATTTTCTGTGTTTTCTAAAGATCACCTGAGTTTAATTTGGTTAAACGAAGACCCTATATACCAGTTAAGCTTATTGAAAATAGCTAAATGGTGAATCATGGCTTGGCTGCCAAGTTGCAACTGATCTTTTGCTTTTAAGATCTTTAGGTAGGTTGTTTTCGTATAGAAAATTCATTTCTTCATTGTCAGAAAGAAGTTTTTGAAATAATGTGACTTTAACCTTGTTTGAAGGAAATCCTACTTACGTGTAGGTTTTTGACAGATGTTATGCATGTTCAACTTGACAACACAAAGCAAAATTTATATATCTGCGCAAAACGAGCAAGTTTAAAAAACTATAGTTGATTTGAAACCGATTTTTGGGAAGATTGTACTAGAAGTAAAGATTGACCTTTTTTTTGCCCACATATCAAAGCAGTAACTTCTACATTGAGGATTTTGTTTATATTTTAGTGATATGCGAAACTACGAGTGTCCGATCAAACGAGGGTTTTAAAATATCAGCTCGAGTGCGACAAAGTTCAGTGACTTCAAACGCATTGTGGGCAAGCGTTAATTTTTTTGGGCAAAACACTGTCCAAAGATATGTTGTTTTTGTGTCCACAGTGGAGCTCCGGACCTTATATATCTAGGAACCTCCTTATATGAACACATGTTGTGAATGCATCTTGAAAAAAATCGGACCTACGCATGCACATTTCCAGTACAACGCAAGGAAATTTATGTCTTAAAGTCCGTTTTACTATGAGGTTTTCTTCGAGAAAATTAAGTAACGACAAGGTTATAACCACAGCTTGCAACTTTTGAAGACAAATTGCCTGTTCTTTCCGCCAGGTTTTGAGTGGAAACATTTTAGTTTTAGGCAATAAAATATTTGAAATCCCGCCATTTTTTCAAACCAGGCCAGGAGATCTGGGCAAAAAAGTTTACGCATGCTCATTATGTTTTTCCGCCCAGAAACGGTAAACAAGAATAATCCGACGTACCCTGCTACTGTTTCTGCTACTGTTTCTGCTACCCTGCTACTGTTTCTGGCGATGTCTTTCAAGAAGTTCGTACGTACGAAGAAAGCTTCCGACGAAGCTTCTCTCAGCACGTCAGATAGAGTTGAATCGAAGCTCAATGTCTTGTTTGTTTGCAACGAGTGGAACTCTAGCAGGGGAGGTTTATCTACGTTTAACCGAGAATTTGCTATTAATCTTGCTCAAACATCGAGGGACGACTTTGCGATTCACTGCTATGTTTGTCAGAGCAGTGAATCAGACAGAGATGATGCTAGAAAACATGGTGTGAATTTAATAACAGCAAAGAGTATACCAGGGACTGGTGACCGTCTGGAATGGCTGAGACTTCCTCCTTCGGAGCTTCCACATCCTGATGTTGTGATCGGCCATGGACGAAAGTTTGGCACTCCTGCTTATTGCATTGTACAAAATGCCAAGTGCAAATGGGTGCAGTTTGTGCATGTATTTTGCGAAGACCTTGGAAAGTACAAGCAAGAAACAGATGCAGTAGAAGAGAATGAGAAAAAGCACAAAGACGAAATCAAACTCTGCAAAGAATCAAACGCCGTTGTCGCTGTTGGCTCACGACTCCAGGAAAAGTACAGCAGATGTCTCCCAGACACAGAAGTTCACATCATCACTCCTGGAATTTTGGATAAATTTGTCAGTCTTTCAGATCAGAAACTTGCCAACGTTTCGCATGGTCCTGACGAGTTCAGTGTGTTTGTCTTTGGGAGAGGATCTTATGAAGACCTCGCCCTCAAGGGTTATGATATTATTGCCAACGCATTAGGTTCTCTTGGGGAGAAGTTCAAGATGACATTTGTTGGTTCACCTGAAGGCCAACATAACATTATAATGGACTGGTTTCTACAAAATACAAACATAACAAGGAGGCAGTTAACAGTACGTGGTTACTGTAATCAAGAGGAGGTGAAAGAAATGTTCTATGCAGCAGACTTGGTTGCTATGCCTTCTCGTACTGAAGGCTTTGGTCTGATCTCCTTGGAAGCCATTTCTGCTGGTGTTCCTGTTCTTCTTACCAGTGAATCTGGAATAGCTGAAGCTTTAAAGAAAGTTAATGGTGGGAAATCTGTGATCATTGACTCAGAAGATCCCAAAGAGTGGTCCCAAAAAATCAGAATTCTGTCCAAGAACAAGCCGGATGAGAGACTCAAAACATCCATTTGTCTCAGAGAAAGCTACAACAAGACATTCCCTTGGGACACCCAGTGTGAGAAATTCAAAGAGATCATTTTGAAGATGATGAGTGACAATTGCTGTGCGGAAAGTGTTGAAGGTCAGTGTATCCCTGTTCTTCCCTACCTGGTCTTATGCACCAGTCAATTAAAAAATTTAAAATCCCCCTGGCCTGCTAGTGGGTGGCACTCAAGAGAATTTTAAATAGAGGTGTGCCAAGACCTTTAAACCAGGAGCGGATCAAGGGGGAGGTGCAGGGGATCTGCACCCTCCCTGAGATGAGTTGCAGCTTCTTAATTAACACTGTGCAGTCACTCCACAGTTGTACAAAATCTTCCTTTTTCTACCTGTAAAAACGAACTAGAAAGACAGTGCATGTTTAATTGGTCTTTTTTCCCAATGGATTCTACAAACTCGAATGTTCTTTTTCATTTCGATGTTTTACTCCATCCCAGACTCTTCTGTTTTGTAATAAACACCGCTGACACGTGCAAATATATGCTACGAACGAAACACGTACTTTTTGCGTAATGGATGATCATGTCGAACGTTCAGTTTTAACGTCAATCAGAACAAAAACAGTGCGGATTAAGAGCCTTTTTTCCAGGTAAGAAAGATTTTTAAGTCGTATTCCAGTTACAGGTAAGTCATTGCGCATTTAACAAATTCATTAAAGATTAATTTTCATTCTCGTTCGACACACTCATTGTTGTCAGTTTTGAATTGTTTTTCAAGTGTAAGTGTTCTTTAGTCACAACTGTACTGTCAAAAAGAGAAATTAGTATTAAAAATCACAACAGTATTACCGTGTAGCAAATCGGCTGTGTTTTATCAATCACAGGACTGAAGTAAAACCTGTTTTAACGGTCACCTATAAAGTGGCGATCTGGATGATAGTTTTATGTAAAATGGTTGTCACCTCCTGGATGAGAGTAACCACCCAGCAACCCCTTAGTTTGGCTTAATTTGCTTTAAAAAAATGGTCATGAAGGAAAGTACAGTCTTAAATAGAAGGTGGTGACTGACATATATTGGACCACTAAATGCCGCTCCCATTTTTGGCATGTTTTTTAAAAAACGAAGTATAGTTTCTTCTAAAGCACTCATTATGCTAATTTATGGTAAAACCCTATGGAAATGCCAGCTTCCAAGCAGCAACTTGCTGGTATCTCATGTTTGGTTACTTAATAGAGGTTCAACCATCATAAATAAAACTAACATCATGGAATAAAATTTTTTTGGAGAAAGATTGTTGTAGCAGAAAAGTAGACTACTTGTCGCCAACATTCACACTCTTTTAAAGGCTTCCGGTCTAAAAAGACACAAGACGTTTTAAGTATTGAAATTGTGTACTGTGAACTCAAGTTCCTGAAAACCTAATTTTCATGTTCAGTGGCACATACCTGTCTAGGCCAAATAAGAGAGTGCCCCTGGGAAACCTTCCTGGGCATCTGAACCTTTTAAGAGCAGGCCTGATATTGCATGTAATACAATGTTTTGAACAAGGCAGTGATATTATATTTCTTGACCCTCTATTTCTCACTATTTCCACTGTAATTGAAAAAAGCAGCTGACTGCAAGAGGTACCTCCGAATTAATTTATTCTATGGTAGAAGTTGTTTCTCACTTTACATCTTATCTATCTATATTTCTATCTCTGTTCAGTGAGAATGAATAACCTCATGGTATAATGACAGCCACCTGGACTGAGAAAATCCTCATGATGTTGATTAGCAATTGAACTACAGAAAAAAGACACTCTTTTCTTTGGTAAATAATTGCTTCCAAAAAGAAATCCTTGTCGAACAAATCATTTACTTGCAAAAACTGTATCTTCACTTGTAAACTCCTCCATCTCACTATGCAAATCCCAGTCTAAGAATGGACTTCTTCGTCTACGCAGCAAAAAGACAATGGCAGTCAGCTGATCGTATGTTTAAAAAGACAGTAGCTGTACTAGTAGTATTTATTCTTTTGTAACAACAAATGCAGAGAGATCTTGAAAGATGGCCATTTGAACGTTTTATTACCCTACTTCCTTGAATAATAGCTGTCCCTCTGATTAATTGCCTTCCTCGAATAATCGCCTCCCTTTAATGGAAATATTTAAAATAATTTCCTCCCTTGAATAATCCTACTCCACCCCTCTTGCCATCTTCTCTTTCTTTTATCCCCTCCCTGTCAAGTTGAAGTGGATTCTGATCCGGCAAAACTGATTCGTGACGATTCAAGCCCTGACTCTGAGAACTGATGCTGAAAATTAATCAAGAAACCAAAGTTAAGTGTTGGAAAACTTAAAAAGCCTATGTTCAGTTTATTTGATGTGATAATTTTTTGATTTAGTGGGAAAATAAAACTAAATATTTAGGGTACGACTTCTAGTGACATGAGCAATATTTGAAATAATCGCCTTCCTTCGAATAATTGCCCCCTTTTGATGTAAAAAAATAAGTAATCACCCCCTGCTGTATTATTCAAGGAAGTACGGTAATTTTACTGCAGAGAAAATTAATTTTGCAGAATGCCAAACATCTGCTGAATGTCCTCTTACTCTAAAGTTTAATGATAAGGGCTCAGTGAATCAAGTTCCATTTTAATGGTCATAATTAATTACAAAAATAATGTGACCTTAGTGAAATTATGCAAATTTTTCAGATTCAGCTCTCAAGCCTGATAGCAAGTAAGCTTAGGGCGGGCAAAAAACAGAAACACTCAAAGAACAAAGACTGTTCTTCTGATTTTTCTCTCTTGACATGATTTAACTCACTCTTTGACTGCACAAAGCCAGTCAAACGTGTAGCTTGCATTCATGCAATTTTTTTTTATCATATTATTTCCAAATAATTAGTACCCCCTTCAAATAAAAGCCTCTTTTTAGGCTGAATATCAAGTATGGGTAAGTGCCCTCTTTAAACAGCCCTCACTGAATATAATGGCATACTGTACATGTATGTTTATCTTCAATGAATACAGTATTACATGTCCAATAACCCATTTAATGACATCACATGGTTGCAGGCCATGAAAGACGCAGCTCCTTTGACAATAGTGATGGTGTTTAAGGATAGAGACAGAACTCAGTCGCAACAAAATCTTCGAAGCCACACACAATCAGATTTGGTTACATAGGGAAGAAAGGTTCTACATTTTTAATGTTACAGTTTCCCCAATGTTTTTGTTTATTTGAAACCTGAGATAAATGTCATCTTGAGGCCCAAATTCTGTAGAATGAAACAAGTGCCCTCTTTTGGAACTAGCTCCCCCCCTCTCTACTCAGAAAATTATGTAAGTACTACAGGGCACTCATTAGAATATTTACAGTTATGTAATTCTTTCCCTCTAGTATTGCTAAATACTATAGTCATTTTTCATGGTATCAGCGTATTTTATTATTGTTTATCCTTTTTTGCTCCTTTTGCCTTCTTTTATTATCCTTTTAATAAAGTGATTTTACTTCTTCTGTGAAACATATATATATCCAGACAGTATTAAGTAGTTACAAGTAAACAGGAAAAAAAAAGTGACCCAAGTCCAGTAAAATTACTCCATATGGGAAAGCAAGAACTAAGTAAATAAAAGTAAATAAATGATATATAAGCACTCTCAGTGCAGTTGTAAGTTTTTGAACTAAGTGATGCATTCTGTCTTAATCCCCCTGGCCTGGTCGGTGGCACTCAAGGAAAGTTTTGGTAGAAGTGTGCTGCCGAGGATTTCAAAGCCTGACCTTGTTTAAGACAAAATCTTTCATTTTGCTACCCTGTTTGACCCCAGTGGTCAGGTTCTAAAACAGTTGTGCAAAAGAATTTTATATACAAACCTCTATCAAGCGCTCACCTTTTCGCTATGTGGACGAGAGATTCCATATCGTTGTTACCTCCATTAAGCAGCCAGCAAGTGCTTAATAGTTTGGCTTTGCTTTAAGAATATGATGAAGGAAAATACAGTCTTAAATAGCAGATGGTGACTGACATTGGACCACTCATGCCGCTACCATTTTTTCCTTTTTTTTTTAGTATTGTTTCTTCTAAAGTACTTACATAATGTTAAATACCTCATATGGGGAAAACAATAAAGAAAAAAATATAAATAAATCAATAATATAAAAGCACTCTCAGTGCAGTTGTAAGTAAGCTTTTGAACTAAAGAGTGCAGTGTTGTAATATAACTTCATCTGATACTCTGCATTCAGTTGCAAGGTTTTCTGTGTGAGCTTTGAAAGTGTACAGACAGGTTTGGCACGTGGCTGTTTTTTTGGAGGGAGAGAAGATTTCCCCCAACTTTATTTTAATGTGAGACCAATCTCAAGGCCATCAATGAAAACCAAATGAATGAATGAACTACATTATCTTCAAAGTAAATTAATATCCAATATATTTCTCTTTAGCATTCATATTAATTTTTAAAATTGTCCTTCTAGGGCAAAGTGTCGCAGCCAAATTTCCTTACACGACTGTTCCAGCTGATTTAGAAGACTGTGCTTCTAAAGCTGAATATAAAGATAAGGATGGTCATGAGATTCATGCTGCTGCAAAAAATGGAAACATTGAGATTATAGAGTTACTGCTGTCTCAACGATTTGAGGTTGATTCAAGTGACGAGGAAGGTTACACTCCACTGATGTATACAGCTCTTAATGGCCATGAAGGTGCTTTTCAGATGCTGATACAAAACGGTGCTGATCCATCTTTGAAACACAACAATGGTTCCAGTTTGCTTCACTTTGCTGTACAAGGTAGAAATACATCCATTATCAACAAGCTGATATCACCTGGTCTTGACATTGATTCAAGGACTAATAATAGTGTCACTCCACTGATGGTTGCAGCTGATCAAGACATACAAAAGGCCTTTGAGATGTTGATACAAAACGGTGCTGATCCATCTTTGAAAATCGACAATGGTTGCAGTTTGCTCCACTTTGCTGCAAATGGTGGAAATACATCCATTATCAACAAGCTGTTATCACTTGGTCTTGACATTAATTCAAGGACTAATAGTGGTCTCACTCCACTGATGGTTGCAGCTGATCACGACAAACAAAATGCTTTTGAGATGTTGATACAAAACGGTGCTGATCCATCTTTGAAACACAACAATGGTTCCAGTTTGCTTCACTTTGCTGTACAAGGTAGAAATACATCCATTATCAACAAACTGATATCACTTGGTCTTGACATTGATTCAAGGACTAATAATAGTGTCACTCCACTGATGGTTGCAGCTGATCAAGACATACAAAATGCCTTTGAGATGTTGATACAAAACGGTGCTGATCCATCTTTGAAAATCGACGATGGTTACAGTTTGCTCCACTTTGCTGCACATGTTGGAAATACATCCATTATCAACAAGCTGTTATCACTTGGTCTTGACATTAATTCAAGGACTAATAGTGGTCTCACTCCACTGATGGTTGCAGCTGATGAAGACAAACAAAATGCTTTTGAGATGTTGATACAAAACGGTGCTGATCCATCTTTGAAACACAACAATGGTTCCAGTTTGCTTCACTTTGCTGTACAAGGTAGAAATACATCCATTATCAACAAGCTGATATCACCTGGTCTTGACATTGATTCAAGGACTAATAATAGTGTCACTCCACTGATGGTTGCAGCTGATCAAGACATACAAAATGCCTTTGAGATGTTGATACAAAACGGTACTGATCCATCTTTGAGAGACAAGAAAGGGTGCAGTTTGCTCCACTTTGCTGCAAAAGGTGGAAATACATCCATTATCAACAAGCTGATATCACTTGGTCTTGACATTGATTCACGGACTAATAGTGGTCTCACTCCACTCATGCTTGCAGCTGATCAAGACAAACAAAATGCTTTTGAGATGTTGATACAAAACGGTGCTGATCCATCTTTGAAAGACAACAATGGTTACAGTTTGCTTCACTTTGCTGTACAAGGTAGAAATACATCCATTATCAACAAGCTGATATCACTTGGTCTTGACATTGATTCAAGGACTAATAATAGTGTCACTCCACTGATGGCTGCAGCTGATCAAGACATACAAAATGCCTTTGAGATGTTGATACAAAACGGTGCTGATCCATCTTTGAAAATCGACAATGGTTACAGTTTGCTCCACTTTGCTGCACGGGGTGGAAATACATCTATTATCAACAAGCTGATATCACTTGGTCTTGACATTGATTCAAGGACTAATAATAGTGTCACTCCACTGATGGTTGCAGCTGATCAAGACAAACAAAATGCTTTTGAGATGTTGATACAAAACGGTGCTGATCCATCTTTGAAAGACAACAATGGTTACAGTTTGCTTCACTTTGCTGCACGGGGTGGAAATACATCTATTATCAACAAGCTGATATCACTTGGTCTTGACATTGATTCAAGGACTAATAATAGTGTCACTCCACTGATGGTTGCAGCTGATCAAGACAAACAAAATGCTTTTGAGATGTTGATACAAAACGGTGCTGATCCATCTTTGAAAATCGACGATGGTTACAGTTTGCTCCACTTTGCTGCACATGTTGGAAATACATCCATTATCAACAAGCTGTTATCACTTGGTCTTGACATTAATTCAAGGACTAATAGTGGTCTCACTCCACTGATGGTTGCAGCTGATGAAGACAAACAAAATGCCTTTGAGATGTTGATACAAAACGGTGCTGATCCATCTTTGAAAATCGACAATGGTTACAGTTTGCTCCACTTTGCTGCACAGGGTGGAAATACATCTATTATCAACAAGCTGATATCACTTGGTCTTGACATTGATTCAAGGACTAATAATAGTGTCACTCCACTGATGGTTGCAGCTGATCAAGACAAACAAAATGCCTTTGAGATGTTGTTACAAAACGGTGCTGATCCATCTTTGAAAATCGACGATGGTTACAGTTTGCTCCACTTTGCTGCACATGGTGGAAATACATCCATTATCAACAAGCTGTTATCACTTGGTCTTGACATTAATTCAAGGACTAATAGTGGTCTCACTCCACTGATGGTTGCAGCTGATGAAGACAAACAAAATGCCTTTGAGATGTTGATACAAAACGGTGCTGATCCATCTTTGAAAATCGACAATGGTTACAGTTTGCTCCACTTTGCTGCACAGGGTGGAAATACATCTATTATCAACAAGCTGATATCACTTGGTCTTGACATTGATTTAAAAGACCTCTATGGTAAAACGCCGCTGATCATTGCAACAGAGAATAACAATTCTGATGCTGTAAAGTTATTACTATCGAAGGGTGTTCATAAATGAGCGTAAATATTAATCGCTAGTATTTAGTTATCTGAGTTATGTATGTTTAATATTATTTTTACAAGGAAATTGACTGATTTTGCTCTCATTTTTTACTCTTGGTTTTAACAGAAACGAATCGGCATCTCCGTACGCGCACAAGTTAACCTGCTCGCAGGCCAAAATTTATCCAAGAAAGCAATGTCTATGCCCGGGGATTAGCCCGCAGGGGGAATGAGCCCAGCTTGAATTGAGTGATGAATCAGTGTATCGTGTAAGTCAAAAAGTAGTATAAAATGAACTTGAGGCTTTTGTGTGGCCACTCCCAACACAGACGTATGAAAAGACTATAGGAAAAGATCTTTTAACATACAATTAAATGCTTTGGATGCCGTTCTAGCACTTCTAGACAAACTCAACTTTTAAAGCAAGCGTACTGTAACATAACAAAACATAACGTAAACTTTATTTATACTCGAATTTTAGAGCTAATTTCTGTACGTACATTGGCCTTTGTACAAACGCCCCCGTCTCCCCGAAAGTTTCTGAGGTGAGGGGGACGTCTATACACAGGCTATACATACATTTATTCATTTTTGTTACTCCTCAGTGTACGTTTCTTATCCTTTGTATAGTTTTAAAATCGCCATTGGTTTGATAGATATTAACCTTATTCAAATTTTTGTCACCATACCCTTACCATAACAAAATATTATAATGGCTATTTTTAAAGCGTAATAAATTGTTCTTTAATTTTGATTTTGGTTACTAATGTATGGCACAGGTTCCGCGAAGGTGGAGGGAGGCCCCTTTTTAACTCGTGGGTACGCGCGAGCGTACCACGAGTTATTGCAGGGACAGAGATATGCAAATGAGTCACTCGCTCACTCGTAGTAGACGCATTTCGTAATTAATCGGGTCCGAACTCGATAGCGCTAAGATCTATCGTTTCCAAGAAGTACGCGCTCGCCGAAGTTCGGTAGCATCAAATTCCTCGCTGAGAGCGTGCATCGTGCGCTACAGCACGGTTAGGATAGAGGTCTTACCAAATTTAAGACACGCAGGAATCTTTCAAATTAGTACGATTCAAAAGCCTTTGACCCGTCCAGGCGTTAAACTTGACGAGAAGATGAGCATTTGCTCTTCGACTCCTTCAACTTCGACGCTGGCTTGATCTCCTACCTTGTTGCTGCGGAGCGACCGAAGGGAGCGAGCAGCAACATAATCAGGATTTAAAGGAAATATATAAGGGGCGACGAATTCTCGAATTCATCACTTTTTACCACAATGCATTGCATTTAACCACACTTTTACCACAATGCATTGCATTTAACCAGAGTGCATTGCGCCACGAACAAGTCAAATAAAAACACGGGGAAGTTCGCGTCGCTCGCTGCCCAGACTCAGAGTTTTCTTTGTAGCAAATTTTCTACAGCACGGTTAGAGGTCTTACCAAATTTAAGACACGCAGGAGTCTTTCAGATGAGTACGATGGTTAACTTGGGGATTGGATTTCAATTCAAGAGCCTTTGACTCATCCAGGTGTTAAACCTGACGAGAAGATGAGTATTTGCTCTTCGACTCCGCAACACGGGGGATATACAAATTCCAGCTTGCTAGAAGGTGATGTGAAAGTGAGAAAATGTCATGCCATGCTACTCTTAAGAACCTGTATGAGCCAAAAATGGATGTGATTTTGACCATTCGCTTCAAAATAACAGCGGAAATCGAGATAACAAAACATATGTTTTGTGTCCTGAGTTGCAGACGGGGACGTGTATCGGCGTTTTGAAAAGCATAATTATGTTCTTTCATTCATTCATTCATTGCCATGGAATATGCGTTTACATTGTTTTTTTGCTGTTAATAGCTCGATTAATGCGGCTGGCGATCATCTTGCCGGCGGAAGTTTCACGGAAAAGGAATTAAATTAAAGACTTTTCGCACAACTTCGTAGTTAGTCTCTGTGGTGTAGTGGTGAGATGTACTCGCGTCGAGCCGATGGTGCCGGGCTCGAGTCCAACTGAGCTCTTTTTTCCCTCTTTCTTTTTTTTCTGTTTTTTGTGTTGTTATCTATAAATATATGGCTAAATAACTGTTACTTAATAAAGTGCAATAAACAGCAAGAAAAGTATCATGTTTCCAGAGAAAAGATAGTACACCCTATATTAAATATATGGATAAACAATCTGAATTTCTATCATTTCCTACAATTTACTGTGGGAAAACCGGAGTTGATAACCACTTGATCATTTTTTAAACAACGTTCCCACGAGTTCTTTATATAGACTGATAGTAATTATTCTAGTACTTTCCAACATGTAAATAGGACATTCAATGTCATTTTCGATTCTTTTAAGTCCCACTGCCTAACTAATGCCAGTATCAACAGAATGTGCCGCAGCATTACTATCTTTTAGATACCCTAGTAGTAGTGTAGTAGGTTATGCGTATGGATGAATTTATGGCGGTCAGTATAAAACACGGACTGCGGACTGGGTATAAAATACGGACTGGTGAAGTGTATGGTAAATAAAGGCACTTCTTTTTCTTCTTCGTCTTCTTCTTCTTCTTCTTCTTAAGGACGCCCCAAGATCACGGGGGGAAATGGATGTGAGTTTGAGCATTACCTTTAAAATAACAGCGGAAATCGAGATAAGAAAACGTAAGCTAATGTTTAGCATCCTACCTCGCGGAGAATTTGTGTCGGCTTTGTATCGCATGTTATTTCATTGCCATGAAATGCGTTTACATTGTTTTTTACTGTCAGTAGCCTGGTTTCAATTAGCCTTAATTTCATCCGATTGCTTCGAGTCGTTTTTTCAATCGGTTAAGTATGGCTCGGTCGTTTGCCGGCGGAAGTTCCATGGAAAAGGCGTTAAACTTGAGACTTTTCGCCAAATCACGTGACCATCCTCAATGCCGTAGTGGCTATGTGAGGTCGGGTCAACCGGAAGGTACGGGGTTCAAATTCTGCTGAGGACCTTCTTTTTCCCTTCTTCCTTTTTTTTTCTTTTTTGTTTTGTCTTGTTTGCTTATTTGTTTTGCTGTTTTTTTTTGCTTTTAAATACATACTTAAATAACTGTTACTAAAGTGCAATAAACAGCAAGAAAAGTATTGTGTTTCCAGAACAAGGATAGTATATTTATAATCTGAATTTCTATCATTTCCTAAAATTCACTGTGGGAAAACCAGAGGTGATAACTAATTGATTATTTTCTAAACAACGTACCCACGAGTTGACGATAGTCTTTCTTTGATTTACGAAAAGAATTAAATTTTAAGTTTCCTAGATTCCTACATTGGATAAGTTTTCAGATCCTGAGCTAATTTTCTCCTGCTTTTCACTCTCATTCACAACGGAGGACATAGAGAAAATGTTATAATGGTGACTGATTAACACATGCAAGAGACCTCATTCGCTCAATTGCATTTGTTCCCAATGTACTGTGTTGTCTGAAATAAAAACTGCTTGTTAACATGATTACATCATGAAATTCTGAAAGAGAATAATACGGTAAGTATCTTACTCGACAATACTTCAAGAGAACCAAATATCCATGTGAATAATGCGCTATGTCTACTCAAGAGAAGTGAAACGGTAGAAGTTTGTTTAAGCACCCGTTTTGCCAACTAATTTGAACGTAGCAGACTCGGTGAATTTTCGCCAGATTCACCAGTTTTGTCAAAATCGCCACTCTTTTGTCATGGACCCTTTTTGTAAATATAAGGGAACATTTGCCAAATTTTGGTGAATTCTCGCCAAATTTGCTATTTGGGCCAAGAACGGCATTTCTGGACATATCTCGTTCTAACTAAGAATCCAGCGACTGATACTCCAACGTCACGGTCCTAGGGAATTTCAGCGAGTGTCTTCGGACCGTCTTCCGAGCGTTGACAGGGGCCGGACTAAAACAAGAAAAATTGGCTTCATCAACTGAGTTGAGAAAATGAATTTACCATTGTTTTATTTTGCTACCCTGAGAGAAGACAAGAGTTACTGATTCATTTCCTTTCACAAACAGAATTACTGCAGTTGAACTTTCATCAAGGAGCCACCTGTTATTAGTGGCCGGCACCCTCTATTAAGTGGCCAGTTGTCAAAAGTTCTAAAATAATTGTACAAAAGAATTTTACATAAAACCTCGATTAAGCGGTCACCTTTCCGCCATTAAGATGAGAGTTTTGTATCGTTGTCATCTCCAGAGCAGCCATCAAGCGCTTAGTTTGGTTTTGCTTTAAAAATATGATGAAGGAAAATACCGTCTTAAATAGAAGGTGGTGAATGACATTGGACCAATGCCGCTCCCATTTTTTGCATGTTTATCTTTTCGAAACAAAGTATAGTTTCTTCTCAAGTAGTTATGCTAATTTGTTCATTTTTCAGTGGCACATACCTGTCTAGGCCAAATAAGAGAGTGCCCCTGGGAAACCCCCATTCATCTGAACTTTTTAAGAGCAGGCCTGATGATTAATACTTTGTTTTGAACAAGGCATATGTTTTATTTCTTGACCCTCTATTTGATGTTGCCCATATTTCTCACTACAATGAAACCTCTATTAAGCTACCCAAGTGTCCGCTTAATATAGAGGGTGTCCGCTTAACAGAGGTTTGTAAAAATTGTGCAATGTTTGTTAACGATTAACATTCAACGGTTACTCTGCACTGTGACTAAGTTCTATGTTGTTGAGGAAACTAAGGAAGCTAAGGAAGCTGTGCTGTACTTTGCGCAAAACTTTTCGGTGAACTTTGATTGCGGAAAGCAATTATACTGCTGGACATCGTTCTAATCTACAGTTTATTGACAGCTAAATGTATTGATTTATCTTTATTAATCGACTACAGTACGTATTTCAAGGAAGTAATCCAATACAACCATTGTCGATTCAGTCCGGCGTCCGCTTAATAGAGGTTTTTAACGATAGAAATTATTAAAAACTGAATCATTGGATAATGCAATTCTAGCATTTTGATTGGCTTAGCCGTTATAGTATATGAGCTATTAGAGACCTTTAGCAT